TATATATATATACACACACACACACACACACACACACACACACACACACACACACACACACACACACACACACACACATATATACAGTTTAAGTCAGAATGATTAGCCCCCAAAACCATTTTAGGGTCAATATTATTAGCCCCTTAAAGCTAATTTTTTTTTAATTGTCTGCAGAACATACCATTGTTATACAATGGTTTATGTTATACATTTACATGCATATATATATATATATATATATATATATATATATATATATATATATATATATATATATATATATATATATTTTTTTTTTCCTCCTCACACAAATAAATATATTATTTAAACATATAATGAATTAAAATAAACACCATTCAAATTAAACAAATACTGAAGCCTTTCAAGAAAACTATTATAATAATCATTAACAATAATAATAAACTAACTTAGTATGATTCAGTATTTTAGTAATATTGTAGTTTATATATTAGTTTATATATATGTTTGTTTTATTTCAGCTAGAATAAAAGCAGTTTTTAACTTTTTAATAACCATTTTAGGGTCTAAATTATTAGCCTCTTTATGCTATTTTTTTTCTTCGACAGTTCTTTAGAACAAACCATCATTACACAATAACTTGCCTAATTACTCTAAAACCTGCCTAGTTTACGGTCATCATGACAAAGATAAAATAAATCAGTTTCTAGAAATGAGTTAATTAAACTATTATGTTTAGAAATGTGTTGAAAAAATCTCTCTGTTAAACAGAAATTGGAGTAAAAAAATAAACGGGGGGCTAATAATTCTGACTTCAACTTTATAATTGTTAAATCCTTAGACTTTTTTTTTTTTTACGTTTTTGAAGCAAACCACAACTCATTGTTTATTTTATTTTACTGTGTGGTTTAAATATTACTCATGCATGTTGTTGACAGCTTATGAAATCCACTCAGGACTACGGTCGTCCTCTTTTGCCACATAAATGATTCCTCATTGCCAAACATCAGCTATGAAAAACTGTTAACAACGCGCCAGACACATCCGCACACCTAAATATTCCTCCCAAGCCGGCAAATCCATCCAAACAAAGCAGAAGATCAGCCTAATCTATGTGCTGGGATATTTTTGCCTCCTTCTCCAGAAAAAAAATGTGCAATTTGGTCAGGCACGAAAAAGAGAGGCAGAGCGAGAGAGAGAAAAAAAATTGAGCAGACCCTTCCAAGCAATAAATCATTGGATTGCTGGTGACACTCATACAATACGGATATAGTGTTAACTGCAAGAGTGAGACAGGGCTCCTTGGCCCTCTGGGGTGACCTTGCCTGGCTGCCGTAATCTATCATTCTGACACCGGACACACTGGTTTTGTTTAATATTACACTATTGGCATATACAGTAAACACAATGCAAAGAAAATTTAGACACAGACATGAGGTGAGACAAGAGGAGGTACATGTGTAGAGGCATTGTGTTGTCAAGCCCCGTGCTAACTTTATTTGGAGGTGCACTTCTATTCAGCTTGCGTCCTGTTTTATTGGCTTGCATCACATTTGATGGCTTGTTCTATTGTGAGAAGTGCTTGTAATGTAAATCAAATGCACACCGTGAGTCTGAACTGCAGCTTTCGGTTGCCAGAGATTTACTATCGGTTTAGAAAATCTGTCTGTTAGTCTTTGGTTCAGTGTGTCATGTAAATGAATACAAAACAGGGCATGGCACCAAAATAACCCGAATTATTATTAACCAAAAAATGCAATTATTTAAGCTTTAATTCGTTTGATTAAATATGATTTTTGAGATGAACTTTAAGTGATGAGCGTCAATTCTGTTTTTGAATCTTTTACTTATTTGTTTAAATGGCTTTTGATTGCTTATTCTGTTGCCGAAAGTGCACATTAATTGTATAATTTGTGTCTGAACTACCGTTTTGGTTGGCAGAGATTTGCTATCAAATACAGTTTAGCAAATCTGTCTATTTATCTGTCGATCAGAGTTTCATCTAAATGAATACAAAGCAAGGTATGGTAACACAATCGAACTAAAACATAAATGTAAATGATTATTTTTGTATATATTATTTTTGAGATGAATTCTTATTCTGCTTGCATTCTGTTTTATTGGCCTACTTATAATTTGATAGCTTATTCTGTTGTAAAAAAATTTTTTTTATTTTTTTTGGTTGCCAGATATTTACTATCAAATACAGTTTAGTATATATATGTATATATATATATATATATATATATATATATATATATATATATATATATATATATATATATATATATATATATATATATATATATCTATATATATATAT